CGGCATTTTTTATAATGTATTTCTATAATTAAAATACATATCGGATATGACAACATATAATTAGCATCAAACAAACAATATAATTCTTATTCTTAAGGATTAAAGAATAAACGGAAAAAAAGAAAAATGATTGCACAACCATCAATTAGGTGGCGATATGCACTAAGCATGTAAATGACCATTGAACAAAAGAAGAAGAAAGAAATGGCATGGCGCACTTTTTCTTAGCGTCCATTTCCATAGTGACTGATTCGTCGCTCTCTGTTGAGAATGTCTTGAGTCTTAACCAGGAACATACTCTGTGTTGAATGACCTTACTCCCGGACGCGTTTTTTGAAACCACATACTTCGAGTAAGCAAGGTTTGGGGTTAATCACCCGAGAGTTCAGGGTTTAACAGGTGGTAAGTTAACCGTGCTTTCTGGAATACACCCCTGGTATTCAAAGCACGACCTGGGGTGTATTCCAGAAAGTGGGTTTTGTTGGAAACTCAGAGTTTGTTAACCCCAGAAAAGGGAAACTCAGTGTTTTCGGTTCCAATAAAAGAAAAAACTAAACTTCTCGGTAAGTTACTATAGTAACTTACTTTGTGACCCTAACCTGGTCAGGAGCAGGTTTTCTTCGGTAAACCCAGAGTTTCTTTCGGTCTCCTCCCCCTTTTTAAAGTGTAAGCTATGTTTAAATAATTCATTAATTCATTCATGCAGCAAAAATGCTTTTATTGCTGAGATGTTTGCCTTATTTCAAGTACAAGTATCAAAAAATTCTTAAATCAAGATGCATTTTCTATATAAAAAAATAATAATACAATATGTAGTCTTGTTTCCTGGGGGAAACAAGTAAAATTATCTGCCAGTGGGGTAAGAGAAATAATCTTAATACAAATGGAAACAAGATTATTTTTCTCACCGCACCACTTTCATTTTCATCATGCAGACACTTTAAATGTGACAAAAATGGCATGTATTTTTACACGGGATCCTGTAGATGTAGTTACATTTACATCAGGAGAGGAATTTATTTTACTTTATTTTAGTTTGCCATATCCACATTCATATTTATTTGAGCGGTACCACTTTTAAATGACATTCACTTGATAACATCTTGCTGCGACCTCTTGAAGTAACCTAATAATTAGAATTTCTTTTAGGATTTCCAGTGTGGTTGGATGCATTGATTTACACATATTCTCACCATCGCAGCTTCTGAAAATTAAGCTGATTACTGTATTGAATGGAAGGATGCCAGATGGAAGGGTAGTGCGAGATAGGCTATATGCCGTAACCACCACCACAGCTGTTAAATAAACACAAATTATTCACAATTAATTTGGTCATCTTTATTTCCTACAAATGCAAAAGCAACACATTCTTTTCCATGTTGGATTTTAATATTGGTATTGTGGCAGGTTCTCCTCCCATTTTATGAGTCTCTGCCTCCTTGCTGTTGGCTAAATAGAAGTCAAATGTTTATTCCATTACACTAATTAAGAAATGTATGTTGGATTAGAGAACATTTAGCCTAATTATGTGAAAAGAGCATTAGACTATGTGGATAAAGCCGCTACACATTGAAATAGACACTGAATGATATTTATTGAATATGTCAAATGTTTGTAAAGTCATGTCTACACCCATGAACCTTTTACACTTGAAGCTTTACCTGACTGAATTATATTTTTATGTTTGTTTGTTTTTTTGACCGTGGGATAGCCTACCATGAAAATTAAGCTTAGTTCAATAACTTACCTTTCTGCCAGTTTTCACCTCTGATATTCTAACAGTGATTAAGAATTAAAGTTTCCCATCTCAGGGTAAGTCAACTCAGAGTTCAAGTTTTAACTCGGAGTTTGTAGAACCTCCTTTCTGGAATACACCGCTGGTGCTGATACAAAGTTCCTCCATTCTAAGTGATCTTACATTTCGAAGAATAATAGAAGAGAGGGATGACCTCCGTCTAAGACACAGTAAAACTCCCCCACCTTTGCCTCTTCTACGACTGTAACATCCTTTTTGTTCTACTTATGTGTTTTCTTTTGTTTGTGTGTCTTCTGTCTAGGAAGAAAACTGATTGGTTCCTGCAGTCTAATTGGTGGCACGCCCTGCCTGGACTCCTACACTGCAAAAACTGAACCTGTGCAGTTATTGGTTTAAGGAGCTTTTTTTATCTGATACTACCCATACATTCTAGTTTTGTTGTTGTAACCTACTTCAATCAGGATTACGTAACATAAAACGAGCAGATATTACTTCAACTTAAATCCATTACACTGACCGAATATACATTACAACTTCCAATAAAGCTCAAAACAAACACATTCATGACATGCACACTTGCTGCTTGTTTTTTTTGTTTTTTTTTTCTTTACAGCACAATACAGACACAGGTACATTCTTTCATAAATACATATAATACAATCATATATTTAAACCAATCTGTTACCCTTTATCCTTTACACGTATTTATAAGAATTAACCAATATTTAAGACCATATTGAAAGGAGGGACATTTGGTATGTTCCATAACTTATCGGTTGCGTTAACTGACAATTTCTGTCCATCTCTTAAACTGTAATCCCCTATGCATTTTAAACTTGATGTAGTTACGGATTTAACTGGGATCTCATATTTCTGAAAAACACAAATATTCCTAGATTTCCATAGTGATTCCTTAAAAACATTTATAATTGCCCACCACCGTATCCATTTTTTACAATTAACCTTTTCCAATTCTCCATACCAAATATCTCTTTCACTTGTCACTCTGTACAAGTTGTATAACCATAATCTAATAGAACCCCAAACCTTCTGGGCATAAACACATTCCCACAAACAATGTCTTATTGTCTCTTCTTCTCCACAGTTTGCTCTAGGACACAAAGAAAAACGAGAACAACCTCTCCTCTTCAAAAAAGCCCGAGTAGGTAAACAGTTTTGTACAGCCTGCCAAGAGATATCCTTATGGCAATTAAACAAGAAATCATCGTTCACATTCTTCCAAACCATAATACATTCTGATTCAATAAGATGTCCTACAGGAGTCATCTTAAATAAAGATGGGGAAAGCTTTTCCTCTATTAACTGTCTATTTAAACTCCCAATCTGAATGTCAGACCAAGATGTTCTCTTTAATATCTGCAACATTTTATCATACATAACTGGTCTAGTTTCTGCATAAGGAGTATTTTGAGGCTTTCTCTTATTCCAAATTCTCCCCACTTGTCGGCCTACCCAGAACTTCACAAAAAAACTACTATAATTAGCCACTTCATCATTTAGATAATATTTCAATACAGGAAAGAGAAACATAGCATCCAATTTGGCTTGTATATCAGGGATCGCTAATCCTCCTTTCTCGATTTTTCTACATACAATTTCTCGTTTCAACCTCTCCTGATTAGAGTTCCATAAAAAAATGAAAATCTTTTTCTTTACTGAATTTAAAAACCATCTTGGGGCTGGCAAAGTTGCCGCTACAAAAGTAAGAGATGCTATTATCTCTGCATTAATTATTAGTACTTTACCCCTAAAGCTAACATTTCTTGCTTCCCACTGTTTTATTTTCCACTCTATTTGTTGTATCCTAGAATTCCAATTCCTTTCTTCCATATCTCTACACCACACCATCCCTAATATTTTAATGGCTTTGTCTTGGATTTTCAATCCAAAATTAAATTTGGGTTCTGTCCAATTTAAGTATAAAATCTCACTTTTACTTTTATTGATTTTCATACCAGTCACCAATGTAAAAAGCTCACATAACTGTAATGCTCTTTCTACTGAATGGTTATTTGAAAGTAACAGGGTGATATCATCCATATAAAGTGACAATTTTGCTTCCTTACCTAAGCTCCCTGGTTTTTAATTATTCTTTTAATTCAGCACTCTGCCTTATCAAGCTATATGCTTGTGCTAATGTGCTTTAGTCAGGGATAGCAATAGGCAAAGCAGGCGATTGCCTAGGGCCTCGGGGTTTGAGGAGGGGCCTCCATAACCGTAGCATCCCCTACACACCAGTCCACCAGTCTAGGTGAGGCAGCAAATACTAGCCTCATTGCCTATCTCATATGATGAAATAGTCATCATGAGCTGGCCTGATTATAAACAAAAATCTTTTTTTTTTTTATATGTTTAGGTTTTGCATAATCAACCCTGTGAAACTACAGCATGCAGACAGTGTTGCTCTAATAGTTATAGTGAATGAATTTTAAATCTATGTAATGCATATACAAATTTGAACACCAGTACTATTTAGACATTTAGACACACAAAGCAGGTTACATCTACTGACAGTTATACTTTTTTTAAGTTGGTTGAATTCAGTTATAATCTTAATAAGTCATCTTAAATCGTTTATTTCAGTTCGTCAAAACCAGTTATTGTAGATGTTACCACATGAAGTACATTTTCTAAGTTGAACTGACTAAACTTTTTTTTTTCAGTGTGGAAATATAATGTCAAGTACTGTAATTTAACCTGAATTTAGAATTAGAAATATTGTTTCCCGACCACGTTCCTGGAAGCACACCAACACAATTTCAAACTCTTTCTAATTAAACATGATCCAACTCATCAGTTTGTTAGAGACTTAAATAAATCATTTTTCCTGGTGGCTAAAGAATAAGTTCACAAGACAGTAAGTAAGACAAGAAGAAAAGCGAGAAAAACGTCGTTTTCGGGAATCAAACATTACTGTCTACACTGAAAAAAAATCGGTGTAGAATCACTTTTCACTTAGCTAGTTACAAAGAAACACTTAACGATTATAATTATTCGTTCATGATGATCCATTAAAGTAGAAAGTCATGTCGTGTTCTCAAGTAGTTATTAGATGTACATTTAAACAAGTTTCTCCTCCTTAAAATCACAGCTCAGCCTTTCTCTGCTCCTCGACCGTGTCTCCGCCTTCTCTGCTAACTCCTAACATTCCAGCGTGTTTTTAACCTCCTCCCATTTTCCTCTCCGATTCGGGGCTGTCCCAACAATAAGAGCACACCTCTCGTAGCACAGCATTACGGACAGTCCGTGGAGGAAGACTACGCGGACTACGCTGAAGGCTTTGGACAAAGACGCGTGAGATCTGAGCGAGCTGTTGCCCCGCAGCGGGCAGATCTGATCAATCGGGGCAAGATGTGGGTTTGGTACTTTCTGCTCGGTTCGGGAATGCGCACGGTCTCGGTCGGTGAGTCGCTACGCCTTCATCCATTGTTCTGACGCTCCTTCTGTAGCGCCATTAGTGCAGCAGTTGTTATAGTGTTTCAGGAGTGCTCAGTCATCGCAGCGGTTGCATTTTCCTTCAGAAGTGCTAGCAGCATAACTTTTGTTACATTAAGTAACGGGTTCGTGAAGCACACCGGCATTAACGTGCACGCGCCCCCGTCCTGGGGACTTTTTTTCTTCCTTTAAACGATTAGTTATTTGAACCAAATGGAGTTTGTGCTTTACTGGGTGGACGCAGGAGTCGACATGCCTGTGCAGCTAACGCAATTATACATAAATAGCTCTAGCATTTCCCTATTTTCTTTTTTCAAAATATTACTAATGAGATCTAAGCCCATAATGGAGTGTGTATCTGCTGAAGGTCACCTGAACAACAACCATTTAACCGTCAGATAAACAATGCTATACGGATCTTTTCTATTGAAATGATTTTTGCATCAGAGAGTTATCATTATAAGAGCATTTATAACAATAGAGGAACAATATTTTTGGATTGTGACAGTTTTGTGGTTAAATATGTTACATTCCCAGTAATAGGGCCTTTTAATAAATGTGAACATGCCTAAATTTATCAAGCAACATCAATTAAAATTATTTGATTGCAGTGTAAGGCTTTTAGTAGTCTGGCAGATCCAGATAAATATTTTCGACAACATAGCATGTAATTGATTAATTTCTGATTAAAGCTGTTTTGCGTTCATGACAGTTGGACAGCGCTACCATGCAAGTGACCTATAGCACAAGTTCATGCTCTTTATAGGCAAAACTCAACTTTTGCATCTATGATTTCTCAATGTATGGCACCTTTACACAGAGTTTATGTGCATTTCATACACCGTATCCAGTTCAATTCATTGATCGATTAGCAGGAAGTGGCAGAGGTTTTTAACACACTGAGGAGATCAATGCCTAACAACTCGATTGTCACCTCTTTGACTCACCCTCTGGTGTGAGGTAAGCAGCCGCTTAGGGCCCCAAGGAATCAGGGGCACCATGTGATTTGGAAAAACAGATTTGGCAAATGCTCCAGTGTATATTTGTTTGTATAGACACAATGTAAATAAGATTTTCATTGTAAAGTGTAGAGCTTCTTTGAGTATAACTTTGTGAGATCGTAATTATAAGGGTTAGGGTTAGGCAATAATAGTAAAATTGGTATATTATATTATACTGTATTGGTATATTATATATTATTCATTCCCAATAGTAATGAGTGTCTCACCTCAGAGAGAAAAGTAAACACATACTTTTATAGGCCTTGTGTTTTGTGTCATGATTTTCATGATTATAGATGATCGGATAATGTAAAGGGGTAAATAAACTTGAAGCTATGAGCAAATGAAGGTTATAAAAGTAAATGAATGCATACTGTAGTTGGTGTTTTGGGCCCCCAAGTCTGCCCCTGGCACGGGGCCTGTGGAAAATGAGTTGGAATAGCTAGATAATTGAATTTGTGCACATAACAGACATGACCGTCATCAGCTACAGTGCTTGCTGCTTCAATCTTTTATGCAGCACAAGTAGATCTAAATATAATACCATAATCAACTATTTTCACAATTAGTTAAGCTGTAATAGTTAAAATGTAGTAAAATGTTTAAAAACAGTTCCACATGTAATATCATGCAAAAAGTTAGCCAATCATAGTAGTAGGCATTTACATTGAAGTGTTAAAGGAGACACACCCTTTAAAGTCCAGTCAAATCACCTTTATTTTTATAGTGCTTTAGACAATATACATATTGTGTCAAAGCAGCTTCACAGAGACAAACAGGAAAACATCAGATTCAGATTCTGCTGTAAAGCAACTTTAAGACAATAATGTCATTGTTTATGTCAAGTCAATTAATTCGTTCCGTTCAGAACTACTTGAACCAGTTCGAAAAAATGGACTGAACCCTCTGAAACAGTTCCCGACTCGAGCAGAACAGATTGTACTAGGGATCAAGTTACTAGGGCTGGGCGATATGGACATAAAATAATGTTTCAATATTTTTTAGCTGAATTGCAATATACAGTATATATATTAAATTAACTATTTAATCGAATCGTTCTGAAATTAATCGCGATGCGACTAACATTAAAGTTTTTTAATATACTTTTATAGTGCAGCTCGGAAGTCAAAAATAGAACTAGTGATAACAAGGCGCTCTGATTGTTTTTGTTGTAGAATACGATAGGGGATATATTCACACGTTATAAAACTGAAAAAGGTGTATAAAATTGATTTTAAGATAAAAAATTAGACGACAAAGAATTAACTTGACGGAGCTCAAACTCAAACCACACGGCTGCAACAAACAGGAAGTGAGATTTAACATTTATTAGACTTTAAAAAATAACTTCTAATTTAAGTGAACTTAAAACAATCTTCACATAAACCCATTATAATAAATGTTTACCTGTGCCCTTCAGCAGAAATATGCAGAATTGAAATTGAAGTTATCAAACACTAAATTAAAATAGATGAATCCTTAAAGCTATAAAAGTTATTTTTTCCTCTTATTTTTTTCTTTGTCCTTTGATTAATAGACATCACAGCAGCTGGCTATTAGGTTATTTTGGCTGTTATTTCTTTAAGAGCTGCCGCTGCTGAACGTGACGCTGATCTGACACGCATCATATTTTCTCTCAACTCTTTTTACCTTTTCTGACCCACTTCAGGTCTCTACTAATGAGTTGACGAGTTGAATCGGGTGTGTTAGATGAGTGAGACAGTGCTGGGCTCCAGGACAGTTTTGAAAACCATTTCAGAGACATGTTCTTAAATGTGACTCATATAAAATGTTACATGCATGCACAGTTTTAAGAGAGCTTTAATCGCCTTTTTTGGTAACTTCATGACTTAACTGACCACGATATTGCATGCACGTAGTTTATTTCATGCTTTGATATGAAAGGATACAGGCTACAGCACGCCGGCGCCTTTGTGCGTGCAATTGAAGAGCACAGGCTGCAAGCACATTACCGTTTCCGCACTCGTTTGACTCACGCCTGGTGCTGAGGTGAAGTGGAGCACGTGTCTGACACGTCTCCAGTTCTCAGTCATTCTGCGACTGAATAAATGCACTTCTTGTCAAGAGAGAGTTGTGACAGCGGTGGCCAACCCTAGCCTTGCCCCTGCGTTAATTGCGTTAAATATTTTTAACGTGTTAAACTGAAAAAATTAATCGCCTGCGTTAACGCGCTAATTTTGACACTGTCATGTACTATAATTACATCTGTGTCTTTAAGACGGGGGAGTATGAGGCATGATGGGAAGTTTTGTTCATGTTGTTGGTGAATTTATGGCAGAGAAGTAAAGACGCTGTTGGTAAAATGTTAACCAGCGTGTGACTGATTTAATTCAGTAGAATGTGCTTCCTCTGATAAGGATCAGATAACTTAAGAAACACATACATAACATTGGCGATGAGGATGCGGTGGAGGGTGTGAGCACTGATTGCACGCGATGGAAAAGTCAGGTATTCCTACGTTTGAGTGCTACAAAGATCCCGCGACCCTTGGGCCAAGATGGACATGGTGGCTGACATCGTTTGAACTTTACGCAGACGGAAAAGGACTTATAATTGAAGAAGATGTTGCCGCGTCAGTCCGTCAACGACGCAGAGCGCTTCTTTTGCATCACGCTGGACTTGATGTCCAAGATATATTCTCCACGCTGCCGGAAATGGGGAATGCTGACGATTATAATGCGGCCGTTGCAGCCTTGAATGCATACTTCGTGCCACGAGTGAATGCTGCATATGCACAGCAGTCATTTTATAAACTTTCCCAAAACTTCGGTGAGACGGTTCAACAGTTTGCAACGTGACTTAGACAGGCAACCAGAGACTTTCGCAGGCGCAGGCACATAAATAATCAAATTCGGGATGCCATCGTAGGCAAATGCTCATCAACATATGTGCACCGTAAACTTTTGGAGGAAGGACCTAATCTCACACTTGATCGCGCGTTGGAGGTTGCTGCTCTCTGTGAACGGATAGAGGAACAGATAGATGTCTGCATCATCATCAGTGAGTGACACATCAAAGCCTGACACAGAGTCTGTGAACCGAGTATGGAGAAAAGGAGGAAAGCAGACAAAAGGAACATTTAAAGGAAAACAACAAGCAGAAAACAGTAAGATGAATAAACAGTGTTACAGATGTGGAAATACAGACCATTTTGGAAGAGATTTAAAATGTCCTGCCCGAGGCCAGATGTGTCACAAATGTAAAGGACGTGACCATTTCTCAAAAATGTGCTAAACTAAAAATGTTAAGCAAATGGTTAACCAAGTCGAAGGACAGACTGAATATGCATTTGTCATCCAAGATGACTGCAGGGGTACAGATAGATTTAATGTTTTTTGGGAAATGTTCATTTGAGGATGCTGGTAGACTCCAGCAATGTCATCGATGAGAAAACTTTGGAGAAACTGAAATCAGAGAGAATTAAATGACATTCGTACATCCCGGATACAGAGAAGAAATTGTTCTCTTACTCATCTGATCAGCCTTTGCCAGTAAAGGGAGCTTTCAAGTGTGATGTAAGAATAGGCAGTCGGATGGTACAGGCCGAGTTCATTGTCATAAAAGGGACTGGTGAACCTCTGTTAGGCAGAGACACAGCCACGAAACTTGGAGTACTCAAAATTGGCACAGACATTGCAGCAGTAACGGACCTCAAGCAATCACTTCAGTCCCAGAAGTGTTTCAGGGAGTTGGTAAGTTGAAAACTAAGCAAATCTGTCTGTACATAGATCAAACAGTCCAGCCAGTAGCCCAGCCTTTAAGAAGAATACCATTCAATCTAAGAGGTCCTGTGGAGGAAAAGATAAAAGAACTCCTAGAAATTGACATTTTCGAAGAAGTAAATGGACCTACCCCATGGGTTAATCCAGTTGTAATCGTGCCAAAAGCCAATTCTGAAATCAGACTTTGTCTTGACATGCGTCAAGCCAATCGAGCAATCATCAGA